CCCCCCCTTCAATTTCTGAAAAAAAAACAACACACCATTAGATCTAAACCGTACCAAACGGTACCTATCGCCCTCTAAAATACCAAATTATTTCGAGGCCCTTCAGCAGGCCCCGAACCCCACGCCAAAGGGGGGGGGGGGGTCGACTTCGCATTCGCGAAGATACTGAAGATGAAGAAATATAGTTTTATTCATAAACATAACAGTTACTTATCATAAAATAGCTCTGTTTTCTGATTCTGGTCCAAGGATCAACTGGTTGTGAATTTGACAAAAGATAACAGGAGAGAGAGAGAGAGAGAGAGAGATTACACTCTAGATATCAGAGTCACACATGGAGTTTTCACTAGATAGTCACACATATAAATAAACTGTGAAGATGTTTTTAATAATTTTTAAAGAATGATTCCTGTTTATGATTTGAACGCAAAGGACGACAGCGTTTGTTATGTTATGTAAAAGCAGTATTGACGACAGCTATCATCTGAGTCCTCATGGGGGTCGAACTCCCAACACGGAGATGAGTTGTATAGATTAATAATAATAACATTTTGCCATTCTCGCTCTTTCTTTGGTGAGTTTTTCAATGCCCACGAAAACTTTTGCATAAGTTAGCTCAGCACCTGTGCTAAAATATTTTAAAAACAATAAAATGCGGACTTAATTTTAAACCTTCGTTACTGTCGCTCGCAACACCACCTCACGTTCGCCTATTAGCTTATTTTCAATAATGTAGAAAATTAGGAACAAACATCTCAGAAAATGTCTAGAATGTTTATCTTAAATAAGGCAATAAATAGCTTGCAGCTACTTTTGGGTGTCGCCTGGCTTTTAAAAACTGGCAAATCCTTCGTGGCGTCTTTTTGCTGCAGATCATTAACATTCCTTGTTTGATGCCTTTCAAATATTATTAGCCATTAATAAAATCTTCTTTTTAGTTAAAAACAATGATTGTAGGTCCCACTGGGTATTGTCGTTACCCATGAAAGCCACTTTTCATTCCCTGAGATGTTCGCAACGTTTTTATTAATAAGAGTCATCCGTAAAGCACCCCATTCCTGTTACCCGTGAATGCGGGTTTTTATCCCTCGTCCCTAGTGAAACGAAGTCTTTGTACTCGGGTGAAAGTTATTTCTAGCTCGTCTGACTGGTATTTTCAAGGAGATATTAATGAACTTTTAAAATATTTTTTGTGATTTGTAATTTGATGATTTTATTTCCAGATGTCGTGAACGCAGTCTATAAAAGTCTATAAAAGTAATGTAGCCTACATGTAGGCAAAAATCGACTTTAGGGTATTTCAAACACGTTTAGTACACTTTTAAAGTAATTACTCTAAATGTAAAAGTCCTTAAATGCTCCATTTGTTTATAACTTGCAATTGAGCGTTGTGTTGGCACAGCTGAGATCCAGCAAAAGTTTAAGCAAATAAATAAACAAATAAATAGATAAAATAAATAAATAATAAAAAAGTAAAAAAAAANAAAGTTTTTTTAAATAAAAACCATTTTTCCCCTTTAAGATGAACTATTCAGCGGAGGCTACAAAGACATTGTTTTAACTGATTATGGGCCCGTTTGGAGACTACAAAGACAGATGGCTTTAAAGGCATTCAGGTATTTAAATTTTAATTTTGTTTATAAATTTGAATCATTTAAAGTGAAAGAAGTATTTTCTAAGATGTATGCTTCACAACATTCTGTATGTATATTTAGTTTTGGTCTGCTTGAAATTCATGCTTGAACCTTCTTATCTATGTTGCATCTGTTATTCATGGAATTATATATATATATATATATATATATATATATATATATATATATATTCTGTCTTATCCTAAAGGACCTACGTATCGAGCGATAAACTGGAAACATTCACAAAGTCTGCCTTTGATGACATGGCTGCTTTGATTGAAAAGGAGACCAAGCCTTTTGATATTGATGCCCACATTCGGTTACTAGTCTTCAACCTTGTCTGCAGGATGGCTTTCGGACAGTGGTAGGATATGTTTAGCTTCCCAGAACATATGTCACATAGTCTGGTGGGGGGTGCATGTGTCTGATAAAATTTGTTTTAACAAACTGTGTTTGGAATTGCTTCTACCAATGTAACGCTTATCGATTTAGCATTATTATATCACATTATTATATCACCTTTTAAAATTCGGCACAGAATATGACAACTTGCTGTCGCAGACTATATATTGTTCCGTCCATCACTTTTGCTAGCTTTCTGTGTGGAGCCGCTGGTCTGTTGATAGCCTTGAAAAGGAAAGAAACGCTGTAGAAACGTTTTCATCGACGGAAAGAAGACTTGATGTTCATTCTGTATCTCTCGTTGTAACTTTAACGCGTGATAAGACACCGTATTCTAAAATATTTGTGCTAACCTTTGCCGGGTGAGAAGATGGTACTACCATAAAAAATAGAATAAGTAGCATAAAAATAAAATAGGTAGCATAAAGAATAGAATTCAATACATGCCCAATCCTTTTGATTGTTTGCTTTCAAAAAACAGAATCTGTATATTGTCTTGGCATTTTTCGAAGCTTAAAAGTGATTCATTTATATTTGTCAGCTATAAAATGGACCAACCGGAATTCATTTGGCTGAAGTTCATAGTGGACGAAACCATGCACGAGGTGTTTGGAGGCCTCATTCCCTCTGACGTCATACCGACCTTAAAGCATCTACCTATCCCATCATCCCTTTTGGCAAAGCGACTCAAGAAGAATCTGATACGCTTCCATGAAGTCCAACTGGCAGAACACAAAAAAACTTTTAACTCGGGTACGTAACTTCTAAATTGCAGCCTTGTAAGCAAAGTTAAAATATGATTATCATTTTTATACATTACATATATCCAGCAGATTTTTATTATTATTACCAAACTTGCAACCAAAATTACAATCATTGCATCACAGTCGGATAAAACCATTAGTAAGTAAGAACAAAGGAATATTAAAAGACATATGTAAGCAAATTTAAAACAAAATATCTAAAATGCAAGGTTAAAAAGAAAGAAATAAAAGTCTATCAGTTAATTCTGAAACTTGTATATGGCACTTGTTAAAAAGTCACTCATTGATCGTTTGGTTTTAATTTTAGGTCTTTTAAAAGTTTCCTGTTCCCTCAATGAATATTTGGCATTTTGTTTTGGTTGCAAAAGATAATACAGTCTATGATCTGGTTCATTTGATATACTAATAAACCATTTTTGCATGCATTGATACGTCTTTCACTCAGTAGTTCAAGTTTACTATGTTCACAAGCAGCGTCATATTCAAGTTCAGGATAAATTATCTTTAGAGCTCTTTCTTGAGACTTTTCTACTAAGGCAGTCAATTCATTTGTTAACCCAAAGTGCCAGACAGGGGCAGCATATTCCAAAACTGGCCTTATGACCGTCTGGTAATAAGTTACTAGGTCATCAGTTGTAAGGCCTGCACGCTTAGGGTGCTGAAGGAAATAAATCCTTTTGCTTGCTTTTTTAGTGATTTTGTCTACATGTACCTTCCATGTGAGGTCATTAGAGATATACACTCCAAGTAATTTAAATGATTCTACAAATTCAATATCTGTTTTGTCAATAATGAGCTTAGAGATATCAGCATTCTTGCGTTTAAACGATATGGCCATTTGTTTGGTTTTTTCCTGTTTAATCGCATGTTGTTTGTCCTAGACCAGTCCAATGTTGAGTCAGCAATTTCCTGTAATTTGCTTTCATCGTCTAAGGATCTCAGAGACTATATATATATATAAAGCTAGTGGTAAAGCACTGTAATGTATAGAAATTATAAGCCCCAGTTTCCTACACAATCCAAATGAATTTCACATGCCACGTGCAACGTATCGAACATGCTTCTTTAAGTGTTCTGTGTTTAAATGGTTAAAACTGCATATACTACTTATATTTATTGTTTCAAATCTCGTTCCATTATACATGTAGTTTCCCCTTATGCATATTAACTGGAAGTTGTTTTATAACTATCATTATGTCGGCGTTTAATTTTAAAGATGATGTAAGGGACGTTATGGACCACCTTTTGCTGCTGAAAAAGGAACTAACAAATGAGAGTGATGACAACGTCAAGGAGTCGCTTTCTGACACTCGCATACTTTACATCATGCTGGACATATTCTTTGGTAAGAGAAAATGTAACTGTGAAAAGGTGGTGATACGAAGCAGTTCTATTTCAATATACAATAATAATAATAATAATAATAATAATAATAATAATAATTTATTTAGTTCAATAGAATTTACATAGGGCGAGTAGAATATATATTTCGGCTATCAGGCCTACCCAACTACCAGACTCGACACCGAATGATCCTGAATTCACTGGTGCGTCGGGCCACACTACCCGTTTTCGGCTCTGAAAAGGATTGGGTGCAAGTCTAAATATATGGAGACTTAACCACGTATTTCTTGCAACTAAGTTTCTAAATACAGTATGTCTCCAATATAAATAACTATTACAAATGTCTGTTTATCTTTACTATGTGTATGATGGTAAACGCGTAGGGAAAGTTGAATATGACGCAGAGTTGCATTCCAAAATACAAGACTAATTATAATCAAGCCCTTAGCAAATAAACCTATGTTATTCTTTGCAGCTGGAACATCCACTACATCCGACACCCTGAAATGGATGATTCTGTACGTTGCCGCTCATCCAAAGGTCCAGGAACAGCTCCACAAAGAATTAGATGATTTAGGTATATTGGTATATCCATCTCTCGTTCTGATCTTCTACGAAGAATACATTTCAATGATCACGCATACAACAATAAAAAACAACTTTTGTTAAATGTCACCGTTTTATTAATTAAAAG